CCCCGCCTCTGAACCCCCGGGCGCCCCTGGAGCCGGGGGCCGCAAGGGCTCCTGGAGCGGCCGCTCGGGCAGCGCTCCCGGGTGCTGCTGCCCCCAACACGCCGGTCAAGGCTGGTGGAGCCGCATGTTGCTTGTGGCCGAGAACAGGGTGTGGGGGCGGTGGGGCCCGCCCGGGGGCCCCCAGGCGGCACGGAGCACAGGCTCCCCGGGGCGTCTCTCCTGGCCAGTGCCAGTGCTGGCCGTGAGCCTACGGTGTGGTCTGGCCGGACTTTCCTGCTTCTCACATGGGCCGTGTCCACCGATGAGCATGTGGACAGCCGGGCTGGGCTCCCAAAAAAGACCCTGGCCGGCCGGCGTCCGACCCGCGGTCCCCGTCCGGCCCAATGGGCAGGCTGGCTCTGGACATTTGTCCTTCCACCGGCAGCCTGGGCCAGACCTGGCCAGACCGTGCACATGGGGGGGGCCAGCCTCCCCTCTCCAGGGCCCTGTGGCCCCGGGCGGTCAGGACCACACTGAGCAGCCTCGTGGCCCCGAGGCCTTGAAGACTAGACGTTTCGGTCGTGGAGACTCTGGCCCATCCTGCCATGGTGGAGCCCGCTGGGTGCTGGCTTCACGTGGCCCTGGGGCGGGCAGCGGGTGGGCGGCGGCCGGCAGGCGCCCAGTGACGACCCCGTGTCCGCAGGAACCAGTCCAACGTGCGGCGGATGCACACGGCGGTGAAGCTCAACGGTGTCGTCCTCAGCAAGTCCCAGGAGGCCCAGCTGGTCCTGCTCAACATGCCGGGGCCCCCCAAGAACCGGCAAGGGGATGAGAATTGTATCCTTTCTGGGGTGCAGCTGGCGGGGTCGGAGTGGGTGACGCGACCTGGTGAGGCCTGCAGCCTGGGGCCCCCGTGCCCTGCGTGGGGACCTCGGTGGGCAGCGGGGCTTGTGCTGACCCCAGGCCTGCGCGCCCCTGAGCGTGAGGACAGAGACAGGCGGCTCCCACGTCGACGAGCAACACGCCCCGAGGCCGGCGGCTGTGGGCCAGGGCTCGGCGCCGAGGCGCAGCGGGGCCTGAGCTCCTGGACGCCCGGAGAGGGCACTGCGCCTCACTGACCTGTCTTGGGGCCAGAAGCCCGGGGCCGCCCCGGCACGGCTGCGTGGTCTCCCCGCCCTCGGGCTCGGGATCTCTGCCCCAGGCTCCCGCCAGGCCCCGCCCAGTGCCCTTAACGACTCTCCAGACATGGAATTTCTCGAGGTCCTGACCGAGGGGCTCAACAGGGCGCTGCTGGTGCGGGGCAGTGGCCGAGAGGTGGTCACCATCTATTCCTGACCCCTCACAGAGGTTTCCAGAACCCCTCACGGCCCAGCGTGGGGAGCCGGTGGGCTCACGTCCGGCCAGGACACAGCCACCCACGCTGCCACGCTCCAGAAGTGACCGCTCAGCCGCACTCCCGCCAGCTGCCCCACCCAGCTGGACGCGCAGGAAAGGCCACCGCCGGGGCCCGGTCGCCCCGCCCAGAGACCCCAGCCGGCCGGCGTGGCCTGGGGAGACGGGCACCCTGCGGGCCAGCCCTGCCGCTGCCCTCTACCCGCTGCCGGCCCTGAGCGCAGGGCGCCCCGCTGCGAGGGCGAGTCTGGACTTGAAGGAGAGCACACACCCCTCGGGGAAGACCCGCCCGTGCCAGGGCCCGCAGGCGGTCTGCACTCAGGCCCCGCCCTCCAGTGGGGCTGGCCGCCCTGCCCGTGTCCACCCAGGGTGCGCCCCGCCCCGCCCCCAGTAGCCCGAGGCCACGCACAGTCTGTGTCCTCGGCCCCGTCTCCGTGTGGCCTGTTAGTGGAATAAAGTCGTGTAGACCTGAGGGTGCCGCCTGCCCGTCTCACTCGGGGGCTGCAGCGGGGCGCCCGCCCTGGTGTCCGGTGGCCCCGTGTTCGCCCCCGAGCCCCGCGCGCGCCGGCTCATCAGCCCCCGTCGGGCAGAAGCTCCTCCGGCCCCGCGGCCCGCTCACGGCTCACCTGGTCAGCAGCTCTCGGACCTGCAGACCTCGGTCCCCCCCCGCAGGCTGGTCCACAGGCCGGCCAGGCCGGCGGCCCCGTCCGCCCCCCCACCTGGCGCCCCAGGCCCACCTGGCCTGAGCCAGCACGCGCCCCAGAAGCAGGTTTGTGAAGTGCGGAATGAAGCCGAGACTGCCGGGGCCCCGTCTTTGGAACCTGGGGCCACCTGCCGCCCCGCAGGCCTGGCCAGGCCACGGCCGTCAGCCCGTGGGGAGCTACAGGATCGGATCGGAGTAACTCGAGCACTCAGATAAACGAGAAATCCCTGGGAGCACTTTTTACTACTAAAGTCCGTAAGAAAAGTGTGTCCTGCGACCGGCCAGGCGCCGGGAGCTCCCGCCCAGTACGGCCGGGCTCCCTGCAGCCCGGTGGCCACCTGCGGTCAGAGTCCACGCCGCCAGGCAGCAGCCGCCCCTCCTCAGCGGGAGGGAACCCTGCAGTGCTGCTGCCGGGCCCCTGGCGGGAGTGACACCGCGGTGCAGGAGGCTGGCGGTCGGGCGAGGTCACTGGCAGGACGAGAGCTTCTTCCTCTCCTCGAACTGCTTGTCTACGGCCAGCGACAGGGCCTGCAGGAAGCCCTCGACGGTGACCGTGGGGGCCTGGAGGAGCAGCGTGTCAGGGGCAGCCACAGGCCGGCGGAGGCTGCGAGCTCGGGGCGCCCAGGGCCGGGGGGCGCACCTGGACGAACAGCGCGTGGGCCAGGAAAGGCAGCTTCCTGAGGACGCGGCCGCTGAGGCCCTCGCTCTTCCTGCGGGGGGCCGGCATGAGTCGCC